TATAATATTATATTATATTATATATATATATATATATATGCAAGGTGCGGATAAGCAGTCTGTAGCCAGAAGCCGGAGCGGGGATTCCAGTCTCGCAGCTGAGAGGGAAGTAGCTCCAACCCCTACAACTCCCCAAATCTCCATTGTTGAGGGACACAGTGAAGGCTACCCACAATCCGTTGAAACAAAGGCTTCCAGCGCCTAAGCCTACAGCAAACCCTGAAATCCGAAAACACGAAACCCCTCAATTGTAGTCCTAAAGCCTTAGACCCTATACCCTATAAACCCCCAAAGCACCAGGCGCTGAAGCTTATTGACCCTGACTGTCTGGTGCTTAGTATAGGGAATGGGGGAATGGGTTATAGGGACTACTATAAGGGACCTTAAGGGACTATCACCATTCCCTACTAAGCACTAGACAGCTGAACCAGTGGCCTCCACCACCGCCGCCACCACCGCCACCGCCGCAGGCGGCGAACTTTCCGAATCCCTCCGAGATCAACTCGTGAGCCTCGCACCAGCATTCTCGGGTTTAGGGCTTATTGTTTTAGGAATTATAGGGGTTAGGTATTATAGGGTTTAGGAATTATCGGGTTTAGGGTTTAGGGTTTTAGGGTTTTAGGAATTATAGGGTTTGGGGTTTAGGGTGAGTTAGGGGTTAGATAGGGTATATGCTTTGGCAGTTCAGGATATCTTTACATCGTGGACCTGCTTCCCCTCCATGCGCTCAATGACCCTGTTGATCATCTCGTCCTCATAGCTGATGCCGCCAGCCTGGGACGAGCTGGTCCCAAACCGAACTCTTGGGTTTTGGAATGCTGGAGTTCGGCTTTACTTTGATTTCTTAGGTTGTTACACGGGTACTGTAAGGGTCTGACTGACGAATTATTAGCAATACCCTAAGACTCCGCGTGTACAAACGAAACCTAATATAGGGGCCTCAATGGTTGTAATTGGGTTTTTGGGTATATTATACTATAATGGGCCCATTATCTATAATCATAATAAGGAACCCCCAAAAAATAATATAGGCAATTATCAAGGCCCCTATACTACTCTGGGCTATCTGGAGTCTTAGGGATAGTTCAATTTATTGAGGCCGCTTAAACCCTACTTGACCCAAGACCTCGGAACCTGAACCTTTCGAGAACTCTACTGTAGACCATTCACATAGGGGCCTTAATAATTAGAATGGGGTGTGGGGGTTATATGATACTATAAGTATCGCGAGGGGCCCCCAAAACCCAATTAAACATTAAAGCCCCTACATTAAATCCTAAGCCCCCAACCCTAAACCCGAAAGCCTAAACCCCCAAGCCTTTATGGTTTCGGGATGTTTTGGGTGGAGGCTCATGCTCGGGGGATAGGTCCGAAGCTTTTCTCATAGCTCCAGCTGCCTCAAGGATGCTCTTGATGTCAGCTGCAGATGGCGACTCCTCTTGCTTGGGGCGAATCGGCAGGTTTAGGGTTTAGGGTTTAGGGTTTAGGGTTTAGGGTTTAGGGTTTAGGGGTAAGGGGCATTTGTGGGAGACCTGTGGTTGAGTTCTCAAGCTTGTAATAGAAGGGCCTTCATAATTCGAACAGGGTTTGGGGGTATGTTCTACCAAAATATACCTTAAACTACCAAACCCTACTTTTTTGTAGGTTCCTATTACAAACCCTAATATGGAATTTATAGGGACCCTACAAAAAAGTAGGTTTTGGTAGGTTAAGGTACTGAGGAGACCCCAAAACCCTATCCTCACAAGTAAGGCCCGTACATTAGTTGTGGTCATGCAGTTAGTTCAGCTAGTTATAGTTGTGAACAGGCATCCGGGGATGCCTTGCGTGAGATCCGGGCCGCGAAAGTGCTGTTCCATGATGTAGACCCGCGACTGAGAGACACACCCATTAAGAACTCGAGTACACTTCCTTTCAACAGGGAGTTCAGTCAGCAGGGGCCTACATTCAAGCTTAAATTCCGTAAGCCCTGGCGGCCATTGCCCTAAGCAGAGCCAAACAACATTCTAGGGAGTTTGGGTTGAGGTTTCTGGGTCTATTGCTGCACCTTAACTAACCCCCCTCTGAACACCACTCTAAATCTCAATGACGGAAGTACAACGACAGTGGGAAACACGAGCTGATGCTATCCACCAGAAAGCAGCATCATCGCTTCCCACCCTTGTCCTCACCTTCCTCCTTCAACAGTCCGTGGCAACAGTAACCCGACAACTATGGAAGCCTCATAAATAGAGTTGAATAGGGTTGTTTGGTATATTCTTATGATAAGAGGATCCACAAACCCTAAACCCTAAACCCTATAGGGTTGCTTGGTATATTCTTATGATAAGAGGATCCACGCTCACATTCCTCTACACTCAGTGCTTTCAGACCCCTTTGTTTCTAGAACATGGGAAGCTCAGCGCTCTTACCCAGGTTTAGGGTTTCAGGGTCAGAAAAGGTTATAACCTTTCCAATTATGGTAGGATTACACAAACCCCGAAAAGCAAAAGGTTGCCTACTCATATACTGGCAAGGTTAAAGTCCCTATGTAGAAACCCATATACCGAACTACCTAAGCTCACCCAAACCTTCTCGCTTTTGCCATGCTCTCTGAGTCCCATGGTTGCGCTGTGCGGCAGGCAACGGGAAGCATGCCTTCTCGTTCAACAGTTTCCCAGGCTCACCGGGTATAAAGTTGTGAAACCTGTCACGTTTTAGGGTGCTCTAGGTCTTAGGTGATATTGGGGCAATGTATGCCAATGCATACTGCATGGAGATGTAAAGGCGAAACTTCACACAGTTTATGGCTTAGGGGTGAGGGCTATGTTTGAGGTCACGGAATTTACGGCGGCTGCTCTGCAGATTGCACGCAAGAGCCGACTGGTGTTGGTCAACCTCAGAACTCTCACCAGCTACTCTGGTACAGGCTTCTGGGGTCAGTTCAGGGGGGATCTATACCACTGGGGAACTACCCAGACCTACACGCTGACCCCTGAGGCCAACTAAGTACTTCAACATGGGGTACACCAAGACCGCTAGACTCTTAACTCTACAACCCGAACGTCCTCAAGCACCTAAAGCCCTAAACTCTTAACTCTAAAACCCTAAAGTCCGAAGGCACCTACAGCACTACGACATCCTAAAAGCAATCGGATAGAGGATCCCTGGCTTCAGGGTTCAGGATACCTGATGCATCCAGAATACCCAGACCTTCCAATATCCCTGAATTAACGAACAAATATACTCTAAACTGCAATAGGATCCCTAATACGTTTTAAGATATATCCCGTAATTAAGTAGGGGATATTGGAAGGTCTTGGTCTTCGGGCCTTCGCGTTCTGGATGAGTAAGGCTCTGCAATACAGGGTTTAGGGTTTAGGGCTTAGGCTTGTTATTCCAAAAGCGTGTCCAGCTCCCTCAACCTTCTGGAAATCTTGTCAAAACCTGTCAATCGTCATGGGAAAGAGCCGAGGAGAATGTTTAACCAGTAAGGCCCCTACACGCTCTAGACCCTTCGAGCTCTCACCAGCGGAAGATTTCCATGACCTCCATGGACGCTTTGAAAGGGTTGTCCTGAGATGAGCAGAATTGGGAGTTTCCGAATATAAGGGGTACCTTTTTTGGGGGTCCTTATAATAAGGATCCTATTATTTAGGGTACTATATTAGGGTCCCCTATTTTCGGAAACCCCCGTACAGCTTCTCGGCTTCGGCTGTAGTAGTTGCAAGTGTCGTGCCGCGTTTGGGTTTGAGCATGTGTGGATGTAGGCCATTATTATTATTGCTATTCTTATTTCTATTATTATTATCATCATCATCATTCGCATGCCTATTACCATTACCATCCCCATCGCCATATCCATCGTCCTTCATCATCAGGATCTCAGATTTCCCCAGAGCCCGAACCCTCAGCCGATTGAATTTGTGTACGCGGGCTTGAAGTCGAAGTGAAAAAGCCGAAGAGTCTTATAAACAGACAAAAACGCACATAAACTCCGTGTAGCAAGATCGTTCATCCGAACTCTGACTTGCCTTCCGTTAACCGAAAAAAAAGCCTAAAACATTACCAAAGAAGTGTGGTCATTGCAGGAGCGGGGCAGGGCGGATGGTGAAGGGTCGGCGCGCCAGCGCCGAGATGAAGCCCTCCATCGGATTCGGGTCTTAGGGGAGAGTTGCAGCCAAGCTTCGACAAGGGATCTATAGGGGCTTAGGGTTTAAAGTTTAGAGAGGTGAGCATATTTGAAAGTTGTGGGTTCAGGGATTCTGGATTTCAGGTGTAGGGCTTGATTATGTGAGATTTGGGACCTTTATGGGTTCGATAGGAGGAAGTGTAGTTTCGAGTATCGAAACCTATGGTAGAGGTCCCGAATCCGGTCGAGGAGTCCAGGATCCCAACAAAAGCTCAAGCCATGCATTCATAAGTAATGGTCTTGAGCCGAAATAAAATCATATATATATATATATGTGTATACGTATATATATATATATATATATAAAGATAGATACACACAAGATCTGTGCGCGCGTGGACTATACGGGGAGCCTTTTTACTCAAATGCCTTCTGAAGTCTCCAGATTGGCTCCCCGTAACCGCAAATCCGAGAGCACATCCGTCGCCAAACCCCTAAACCCTCAACGCTAAACCCCAAACCCAAAACCCACAACCCTTAATCCCTAAACCCAAAAACCCCTAAACAATGGATCCTAAACCAAGAATCCTCAACAGCCGGGCTGTGGCAAAACAACGCGATTGCACACTTGCAAGCCTGCGACAAACTCTTGGCCTAAGGCTGAACAAAGCCGAAATGCCATGGTCTTTGGGCGCAAAAGCATCACATTACTGATCCTTAGAGCATTAATCATGTGGGGCCTTTATTATTTGAATAGGGTTTTGGGGTTTATTGTATAGTAGAATTATAACAAGGAGCCCCCAAAACCTCATTCCAATTAATAAGGCCCCTACATTAAACACCTAAACCCTAAACCCTAAACCCTAAACCCTAAACCCTAAACCCTAAACCCTAAACCCTAAACCCTAAACCCTAACCGCTCATCTAGCCAGGGCCGAGGAGGCCCCGGGTTCAGGCGTAAGAGTCCTGGTGACCTGGTGGCTTTCGGGTTTGAGATGTTTAGGGCTTGTAGGGATTAGGGTTTTAGGGTTTTTTTTGATGTTTAGGGCTTGTAGGGATTAGGGTTTTAGAGTTTGGGGGTGTAGAGTTGGCGAGTTTCCAGCATTGGGTGTAGAGCTTCCCTGGTGTTTTTGGGGGTCCTAGGCACTGAGTCTTCCCGTGCTTCCGCACAGATCCTGAGTAAACGATCCCGAGTTCGCGTCTGTCGATGTTCGGATCTTTCTGCTGAAACCTCACTTAGGGCGAAAATAGGTGCTTTGTAGTCTAAGCATTTCGTAGCCTTTCAGGAGCACTTTGCGGAAGGGCAAGAAGACAGACATGACTTGTGCGAATGCTTTGCGACGACGATTATAAGGATGGTGTCAGAAATTGTGCTCATGACGATGCTGACCGCCACCCCCCACCACCACCACGACCACCACCACCACCACCACCACCACCACCACCACCACCACAACCACCACCACCACCACCGCCCCCACCGCCGCCGTCGCCGCCGCCACCCCCGCCACCACCGCCGCCACCACCGCCACCACCACCGCCACCACCACCGCCACCGCCACCGCCACCACCACCACCACCACCACCACCACCACCACCACCACCACCAGCATCATCAGCATCAGCATCAGGGCATCACACATCAGCAACATCATACTATCTCTGAAGCAATGCCATATCACATCAGCGCCCATCATTGCCAGCATCATCATGATCTGCTTTCGACAGCCTTGGCAACCAGAGCAATGAGTAATACCAACAATCATGCACATGCACGCGTCATCTGAGATGGCTGGTTAATATCATGTGGTCAGTGCAAGTTCATGTAACATGCAGTTCAAGCAGCCTGCCCGTTGCGAGTCCAAGCAAGCAAGCAACCCCCTGTCATCCATGATTTCGGATCGCGGCAAGGAGGTTTAATTCCAGGCCTTTGCAATGCTGTCTCCCGCAAGCTCGCTTGTAGAAGCGCCGCTGACGAATGGATCCGAAGTTCCCGTCATCATAGACCTGTGCTGTGACAGTGTGCGGGCAATGAACGACACCAGCCTGCAATAGCCTCGTGCCAGTCTGTGGAGACCAATAGTTCGATAGTCCATGCATGAATTGTTGCATTAGGCCCACATGAGTAGTTGTCAAAATGATGGTCCCTTTTTGGGGTACCCTAAATAATAGGCGCCGTATTATAATAAGGACCCAAAAAGGGGCCATAATTTTGACAACCACTCACATGCCACCCCGGGCAGCTCCCAGTCTTGCCTGGCATGGGTAGCGACATCGGGCCGGGTGGCTGCTTGCTGAGATGGAGGCAGGGAGGGCTTACCCTGCCGCTAGGACCCCTGCCCTCAACCCTAAACCCTACACCCGACGCCCTAAACCCTCAACCTTTATGGCACCCTTTGTAAGGGTTTAGGGTTTAGGGTTTAGGGTTTAGGGGTTTGGGTTTAGGGTTTAGGGGTTTAGGGTTTAGGGCACCCTTTATAATGACCCCTTATACTCGCCCCTATGGTAGCATGTAGACTGCTGGGCCCGAAACTGTGAGAGCCTCAACAGCCTCGCATGGAGCTGCTTTTGAATTTAGTCAAACACCCGCCAATGCGGGGTTTATGGATTTGGGGTTTAGGGATTTAGGGTTCAGGGCCTACACTACAAGGGAGCCTTTTGGATCCCTACTCTAACTCTTACGGAAGCATAATGCCTTCCATAATGCCTTCATAATTACCTATATTTTTTTGGGGGTGCTCCTTATTATAAGTCTAGTACAATATACCCCAAAACCCTATTTTAATTATTAAGGTGTCCATTTCAATGATCCCATAGCGTGTCCAGGAACTGCTCCCGAGCACTCTGCAGTGTGGCCCGGCGGGCACCACGCAACCGCTTCCAGCCACTAGGAAAGCAATACATTCAATACCACACTATATTATACTAGACTATCCTATACGATACTACACGATACTACACGATACTATACGATAGTATACCATACTATGCTATACTATACTATACTATACTATACTATACTATACTATACTTTGCTATACTATACTATACTATACTATACTATACTATACTATACTATACTATACTATACTATACTATACTATACGATACTATACGATACTATACGACACTATACTATACTATAGTATTCATACTATAGTACTATACTGTACTATACTATACCCCTTAGTAGTAGAGTAGGCAACCTTGTATCTTTTCGGGGGCACGATAACTCTTATAGAATCCCAAAGGTGAATCCCAAAGGTTAGGGTTTAGGGTTTAGGGTTTAGGGTTTAGGGTTTAGGGTTTAGGGTTTAAGGGCTTTCGTTCCTTCGGGTGCTGGACAAGTGAGTCTATGCTATGGGACTAGAAGGTTTTTGAGCCAAGGGTTGAAAACGAGTAGTTTTTTCAACCAAACGGTTTAGGGTTTAGGGTTTAGGGTTTAGGGTTTAGGGTTTTAGGGATATGGATAGTACAGTAATTACAACAGAAATAGTCATAGTAATCGTAGTTTTAGCTAAGGAGTCACTAAACCCTAAACCATTGAATTCTAACCCTAAACCATAAACCCTAAACCCTGAACCCAAAACCCTGAACCCTGAACCATTGAATTCTCACCCTAAACCCTAAACCCTAAACCATTGAGTTCTAACCCCAAACCCTAAACCCTGAATCATTGAATTCTAACCCCAAACCCTAAACCCTAAACCCTAAACCCTAAACCATTGAATTCTAACCCTAAACCCTAAACCCAAAACCTTAAACTCTAAACCCGAAACCCTAAACCCTAAACCCTAAACCCTAAACCCCAAACCCTAAACCCTAAGACGTGTTCGGAGCCGCGGTTCGCTGCTTTAAGGAGAGCTTTAGGGAGCCTTCGCTTCGGCGGGTTCTGGCCGAGCGGAGCGCAAGTAACGCCATACCATGGGGCTTGGTAACTTACGGGGTTCCTGTAAGGGTTTTAGGGTTTAGGGCTTGTATGGGCGCTATAAGGGGTCGATAGGGGCAGGTCTCTACTCTTGGGGATCCTTTTTTTGATCAGGGTGCCGTACTATTTGGGGTGCTCATTGGGACTTAGAATGGGGCCCTAATTAAGAGAACTGATTACCCATATACAGAACTATGACACTTGCGATCGAACAGGAAGGAGTTGAACTTTTACAGTGTTATAAGGACCACGAAATAAGGTACCCTAATTTTCGGAAACTCCCACATCACGATAGACACCAGGCGTAGCTGAAGGCATCGTTTGTCTTTCTGGGTCGCGGTGCAACCTGGAGGCAGACTTCCAGCTACTGCCCAAACCGAGCTTGTTTCGACCATGGCTTTGTTTCGAGTTGGCCTTTCAGCATATCTGTGGTACGAAGAAAGGGGGTGAAACACGGGCTTGAATAATGGCCAGCATCGTTCCTTCAGGTTCCTGACTATAAAAAGCATACCACGCAACCTTATTCCACTTATTGAGGCAGCCTTGCTACACGCAGCCCTTTTCATACCCTTTAGATGCATTCTTAAAGGAAACCTGTTCCAATTTGTAAGGCCCCTCTGCGATTGCCTGACTGCGAGATGCTGTCGACCTGAGGTAGAGCGCTTCGATGCACTGGCTTCAGCGCAGCCCGAGCGCGACGTCGTCTGCTCGGACGCCGCTTGGTCGCCCTTCGAAACCTAAACCCTAAACCCTAAACCCTAAACCCTAAACCCTAAACCCTAAACCGTACCTGAACCCTGAACCCCAAAGCCCTCACCCTTATGAACCCTAATATCCCAGAGCCGCTGGTATGGGTATTTCGACCTATGGAGCTTCGGGGTTAAAGGTCGGTTTTTAGTAACATAGCGGCCTAAATGATGGGAATACGGCGCCCCTTTGAGGGTTCCTTTCAAGGGTACTAAAAAGGGTACCTTTGGTATAGGGGCCCGAATGTATAATTGGAATGGGGTATTGGGGGCCCCCCCTGCTACAAAGTCGGGTTCGGAGTTCAGAGTTTGCTTGTTCATGAAGAAGACACAGTGCCCGAAGAGTTGAAAACTCGCCAAAGTTCAGAGAGATGCCAGTTTGGGTTGAATTTAATCATGAGCCCTCCACCCTGCAGTAGCCTGATTGACGACTAAACAAACAAACACAAACACACACAGACACACGTATACACGCGTAGACTGCAGGAGGAGCGAGTTTGATGAGTTAGACCGCAAATATTTGTTCCTGGACAGGTTCGCCTTGGAAGGTTCTCCTGTGCTGCATGCATTGATTCCTGGGCTGAACCCTTGCCACCCCCTCCATACCACTCTTCTTGTGAGATCCCCACATGTCGGTACTTCCTGTCCATGTCCACAATGTCCCCCAACCTCCACCACCCCAAGCTCCAAGCCCTGAAACCCTGCAGCACGCATGCAGACTCCCAAAGTCTTGCAGAACCTCTAAGGCCTCTAACGTAGTGAGGGGCTTCTTAATAATTAGAATAAGGTTTGGGGGGTTTCTTCTCAGAATTCTTAGTAGAATATACCCCAAAACCCCCTGACTAAGCGTCGACGTCGAGACCCGGGATCCCCCGAAGCCCTCTTAGTAGTAGAGTGATCTAGGCTCCTTATTGGAAGTACAGTATACTGGTCCCCAAAACCCCAATCAAATTGTTAAGGCTCCTATATTAGGCAACCTTGCGCCCCGCTGTACGCTAGCTCGTTCCGGCGCTTGCATAACCCCAATATAATCCCAAAGTAGAACCTTGAGCCCTAAACCCTAAACCCTAAACCTAAACCCTAAACCCTAAGCCCTAAACCCTAAACTCTAAACCCTAAACCCTTGGGTACTGGACCAGTGGGTCCAAGAAGCCCAACCCTTCAGCCCTTCAGCCCTTGACCTAGCATCCTAAACCCCTTGTAGGCCCAACCCTGAAGCCCTTAAGCCCCCAAACCCTAAACCCCAACAGAAACCTTGCAGCCAACCCGAAAGGCGAAAATCCCGAAGCCCTAAACCCTAAACCCTAAACCCTAATCCCTAAACCTTAAACCCTAAACCCTAAACCCTAAACCTTAAACCCTAAACCCTAAACAGCCCTCGGGCCCGAGACTTCCCAGCAGTGGGGCCGGATCCCTTTGGGGAACTGACGTCGGGCCATGGACGGCCTTCAGGCCATGACTGCTGCGGAGACAGTGCAGTCGAAGTGCGACCAGTTGTGCTCCCGCGGATGGATTGTGACTCGCTACCTTGGCGAGCTTGCTGTGGGCGAGGTCTTCAATGTATGCATCAAGGTGACGAAGATGGACACCCAGCATCATGGCTGGGCTGAGGTGGTGAATCTGAAGTTAGCAACAACAGAAGAGCCCCCAAGGCCACAGCTGAGACGGTACCTATGGACTGCAGTGCTTTCAGGAAACGTATGGTGCCTGAGCAGGTCTATATGGTATGTGGAGCCAAGATGCTTATGAAGGATGGAGTGACATACCTACGGGTACCTGGCTCTACCGAGACAACTGCCACGATCCTCCTGCCGACCCGTGAGGACAATGTGGTGGGGGTGGCCGCGATGTTTTGCGGAGGCATTTCAGGGTGGAGTCGTGCAGCCTTACAACTTCCGGCCTTCCCGGTGGTTCGGCTTGACCATGATGGAATGGCCATCTCTACGGTGTTGCTGAATGAGCCGGCCGAGATCCTCTTCAAAGAAGGTGTGGATCAGGAGAGATTTACTCTCTTTTGGGGCGAGGCTATCGACCTTCGGTGGCTTCAATCCTTTCATGATGCCAACGTGGAAGTGGTTTGTGCCTCCCCTCCATGCTCCGCCTGGGGCAACCATGGATCCAATGGCGGCTTCAAAGACATTATGGGTACAGCATCGTGGTGGCAGATGGTGATGATAGCCAGGCTGACCCAAAGACGGGCCTTCGTCGTGGAAGCCTCGGTGGCTTTCGCTGCACATGAGGACGCCAGTACCTTTGATGATGTCATGCGATGGGCTGGCTATGTGGTGGTGTGGAAAGGTACATTGGTGGACGCAGATAAGATGGTGGCAGCGGAGAGAACCAGATACTGTATGGTTTACTGGAACTCGGCCGACTACCCCTCTGCAGGCCTGCCCTTCCATATGTTGAACATCGGCGACAGGCCCAAGGTCCCCTTCGCAGAGGCTATGTGGAAGAACATGCCGCCGGAGGTGTGGCAAGCCACTCAGATCAAACCAGAGCAAATGGCTAAGATTACAAGCAGGGAGCTATTGCCTATCCATCAACGAAGACTTCCAGGATCTGCCCTGCACCTCCGGGTTGTGAACCCTACGAAGCCACTGCCAGGAATTCCTTCCGCCTACCACCGGGTCTTGGACATGCCCTGGCCAACTTTGATGAAAAGAGGAATGTATTTGCCACTGGTGGTGAAGCAGGGCAACCTTCGCCTGCTTAACATGTGGGAAGTTCTCAAAGCCATTGGGCTACATGGGGAGATGATCCTGCCGGAGCCACAGGATGATGCGACCACCCTCTTGGCACAGGCCCTGCCGCCAGCACTGGCCCTACAGGTGCTGGGAGCGGTCTTGGCCCACCGCCACGAGGCCTTTGTCAGTGACGACCAACTGCTCAGATACCTGGAAGCAGGATTGCGAGAGTTCAAGAAAGGATGGGTGGACTTTGATCTCCTGGAGCAATACGGTCGAAATGGATGGGCAACTCTGGTCATGCAGGGAGCCGAAGCAGAACGAGGACCCAACGGCAGACTCAATAGTCGCTTGCAAGGACTACAGCTGCAACTGGATGCTATGATGAGGAGGAACAACAGCAGACACCCCCCCTACCTCCCGGAAAGCGTGCGCACGACCTACGAGGACATGGAGCGCGATGAGACCAGGGAGGCTACGGAGCATCGACTTTTCCAGGTCAACCATGGTTATGCTGGAATTTCCATCAATGAGGATGACCCGGTCCAGACTATCCGCCAGCATGTGGCCGAGTATATGCAAGTGGAGGCGAATTTTCTGGCAGTGGCCAAGGTGAATAACAAGGTGGGAGGCATGGACAGATGGATCATTGCAGGTGAAATGACAGCCAACCTCTTTGACCATGCATTGGTTTTGCTGGATGCAGGGATCCCACAAGCACAATGGCTTCCCAGCGAGCTCCTCCTTGGCGACCTCACCTACTACTTTCAACATGGTGCCAACCCGGATGTGGTGGAACTGACGGGGACGTGGTTTTTTCCTGGCCGGTGTCCCTGGACACGGGGGACTACATCAGACTCCGTTGGTTCGGCAACAGTGAGGATGAAGCCTGGAAAGAACTGGATGTCTTTGACCAGATGGAAGCAGACGAGGATGGCCCCCTGCCACCGGCCAGTCCTGGCCCTGAGGGGGCAGAGAGCAGTTCTGGAGATGGACATGACCCGGAAGCACCTCCTGGACCTCCTGCGGACTCTACTGGGGCATCCACCGAGACGGCAGATCCTCTCCCACCAACTCTGCCGGCGACTTCCTCTTCGGATCCAGCACCTGACCCGACTGACCACGGCCGGGTCCGTGGCATGCCCTTTTCCGATGTCATGGTGCCAGCCAAGCGACCAAGAACACTGGAGCAGACGGACCTGGAGGCGGTACTGCAAACAGCCAACCCCTGCAACTACCAACTATGCCTCCATCCAGCCACCGGTGGCCTCCCTGGCTATCTACTTGACCTTTCAGGGCAGACTGATGGCTGTGGGCCAAGACGACCCCAGGACCTTGGAGCAGATCCTTTTGGACGAATGGGGAGTACCTTTGAACACTACCTACTTCCTCCTCAATGGTAAGGTGATGGGTCCTGAGGCAACATGTTCTTGCGTGCCTTTGGGTGCTACTGTGGTGGCCGGTGGTCGCTTGACAGGAGGGACAGGCAACTACGGGCAGAAGCTCAGAGCCCTCCTGGCCAACAAAGGGGTACCGGACGACCAGTTGGACGACCGCGTCAAAGAAATCAAGAAGCACATTGGCGACGCTGGAATCAGAGACGCGTACAGTTCGTTCGACCCATGGATGCGGCTCAAAAGCATATGCCCCATACGAATGATCCGAGAGAGTGAAAACAAGGCGAAGCCAAAGGCCAAGGACATCCAGAAGGAGCCCCAGAACGACGAACTCCAAAGCAACGATCCCTGGGCTTCTGCTCTGCGTGAACGTGGTTCCTGGAAGATTGATACAGCCTTCTTTGCAAAGGAGGATGGCTCCACCCCTGCCTTCCTTGACAAGGTCTCCCACGGGTCCTCAGGCATTGCACTGATTACTGAGAGGGAAGCGGAGCTCCTCCTCCAGAACCAGGCCCAGATGTCGGACAACGAATTGGCAGTGGTTATCATTGGGGCAAGACTGCAGTCTAATTCGCGCTTTACAGTCGTGGATGTGGAAATACCCTGCAAGTGCAAAGATGAGGCCAGAATACTGGTGAGAGCGCAGCTCATCAATCTCGGAGCCAAACGGATCACCCTGGCGGGCGAGGACAAGAAGGTGACGGTCGGGGAGTTGGACTCGGCGGTCCTGACCTGCGAGCTTGTCAAAGCCGAGACTTTCCAACGGGAGGAGATCTGTGATGGCCACATCAAGTACCTACGAAAACAGGTTCCACACTTGGATGGTATGATTATTACCACGTGGAGCAGGAAGTTTTTTGCAGCCTCCAAGCCAACCATGGGCCCCAAAGGCAGAGACATGCTTCATGATGATGAGAGTCAAGAGGGAAGCCAAAGACCTCCTCCTCCGGACCATCACACCCGGAGTCTACTTCTCGCCCAAGACTGAGGATGGACTACCTGACCCAGCCTACAAGGTTATATGGATGCCAGACTCCCCACTGGATGATGTCGTGATCAAGGCCAACTCGGAACCTACTGCAGTGGGCCTGGTCCGCAACAAAGGAGGGGTGGGAATCCGGGTCAAGACCGAGGACTTCATCAAAGCCAAGCAACGGTGGCAACCCTTGTGGAAGCCACTGCCTGACACACCCTACGACTTACAGATCGCCAAGTACTTCGACCTCCAGAACATGCCGGTATCCTCTTCCAAGGCAGAGGTCCAGGCATTTCTGAACAACGTCAAGTGGCCGGCCATTGCCTTGCGACAAACAAAGCCAAGATCTTGGATTGTTGGGGCGGCCGCCCCCCCTGACAATATGGTTTCCTGGCTGCACATGGAACTATTCTGGTGTCAGAGAGGGTCAATGGCAAAAGTGCTGGAAAAGGCAAGTCGGCGGGCAAGGCTCGCAGCATGATGCGACAGCCCTCACCATGGCTTTTGGCGGGTACCTCACCTATGTCATCTTCGTCAAGACAGGAGGCCCCTGGATTCATGGCTGTTGACTCTGAGGCCTCTGCAGCGTTGGAAGATCGCCTCCAGAAACGCATGGACCAACTGCACCAAGAACAGGTTGCCACCACCAACATGCTACGGGAAGACTTCAAGAACTTCCAGACCCAAGTCACGATGCAGCAGCAGCGACAGGAGCAGGTCAACAACCAGCTGCAGGGCAGTGTAGCTGAGTTGGCGGGCTCTATCACCTCCCAGTTGGGCCAGCACATGTCACAGATCACGGCTGCGCTGTCCAATCAGCGCAACGACCTCAACTCGGATATCCGCACCTCCCAGCACAACCTCAACGAGGACTTGATGTCAGAGGTACGACAGCAGATGGCCTCGCTCCGAAAGCGGACTCCTAGTCCGCCAAAGGACGGCCCGGCCAAGCAACCCAAGCAGTGACCAGCGAGGGTCGTAATTCATCTGGAGAATGCTCTGGATGGCAGTGATGCAGTGGAGTCGATCAGCAACTACCGCTTCGACCTCCCTTACATGCAACCCCGGTGGAACGTGAATGACAGTATGCAAACTGGAAGTAGATTGGCCGGGTATAATTATTTGTCTTTCTTGAATTCATGGGACATGAATTTATTTGGCAGATGCACTTTGCTATGCCATTCGCAATACCTTGGAGCGAGGATCGGGGAGGCCAAGAACCCTGGACCCATGCAGATCACGGGCCTCAACGTCCAGAGTCTCAACGCATTGGCCGACGACGGACGGCTATTGTCCTCGACAGCAGACGTGGTAGTCTTTTCCGAGACCGCTGCAACTGTCTTCGTTCAGCAGAAGGTTACAAAACTGGTGCATCAGGCAAGGAAGCACATTGTCTATAGCAAACCAGTGGAAAAGAAAAAGTTCTGCGACAACAGGGACTGCTGCGCGAGAGGAAGGCCTATGGGAACGGCAGTACTCTCATCGTCGCCGACAAGACCTACGACTTCAACCTGGACTCCGGAAAGTTGGGACACAGCAAGGGTCACTGACTGTTTTGTCATGACTGAGATTGGCCCGGTACTTGTGATGGCTATCTACGGCTTTCATCAGGGCTTCCAAGACTACGAAATCCTCAATGAAGGCCTCCTCAGGGAAGCTGCCACGAGAGCCAAGCAGATTCGATGCCCAGCCCTCTTGGTTGGAGACTTGAATTGCGAGGTGCAAGACTTGGCGGCATGGCAGCTCATGTACGATGAAGGCTGGCGGGATGCGGCGGTTACACAGCAACAAACTGATGATCGCCCGTTGGGGATGACTTTCAAGAATACCTCCAGACTGGATTATATCCTGTACAATGACCTGGCGGCGCCTGCCTTTCGTTCGTTCTTCTTGTCCGACCAAGCGGAGACGGACCATTCTTCGGTTTCGGCAATCTTTGACTGGGGTCTGCTACCAAACAGGATTACATCGTTCCAGATGCCGGCTGAGGTCAAGGACACGGGCCTCCTACCCACTGAATTGCAGCAATATTTTCTGCCTGCACACTCACAGCGATATTTGGAACATGGCCTACAGTCTGGTGATATTGACAGGGCCTACGAAGACACTGTGGCTTGGGCCCTGCAACGCAAATCTGCTACTCCTCTGGAGAAAAGATTTACAGGAAGGGGCCGTGGAAGGTTCCAACAGCAGGTCTTCCTGCAGGCTCGCTCTGGCAATGCGCGACATGGCGAGTTTTCAACCTACAGGCGACCAACACAGTGTGGTTTTACGTCAACGTATTCGGCAGATAAGGCGGCTGGAGACGTATGTGGCTCAGGCCAAGTTGGCGCAGACTGCCCTGGATGCGCAGCGGAGGCAGCAAAACCTGGAAGCAAGTCATGCCACGTGGAGATCTGTGCTTCAATCTTCTGGTTTTCCTGGTTCTTTTCAACAGTGGTGGCTGCAGGAACACACAAGATGTTTCCCCTTGAGCCCGCCGAGGACCCAGGTGGCTGAAGCGATGCTTGCTTCTCTTAAACAGGATGAGAAACACTGGAGGGTTGTGTGTGACGGTCATAGGAGGGCTAGGCTTTCTGAACTGTTCTCTTCGGATTGGAAGCAAGGAGGCCCTAGGCACTATCGTGCGATTAAGCCACCTGGCCTCCCTGCAGTGGATTCACTTGGCGTGGCCTCTGACCATGCAGTGCAATGCCGTCGGTCCCGGAAAAAAGGGCAGGAGTGCTGCACGCTTTGCGATGACGACCTCCACTGTATTCGGGCTGGCGCGCTCTGGACACAGGGCAAGGCCCGTGCTTACGTTTCTCATGTCAATAAAGGGGTGGTTTACCTCAGACACGTCAATGGAAAGTTTCAGTCGGGCACCATCACACAAACCAGAGTATCATGCAACCCCACCGAGATCCTCTACCAGGCTGAGGATTATTGGAAACACTATTGGAACAACCCACAACCAGCAGTGTTGGATGAGATGACTAAGCTTGATGTGCAGACACTGCCTCGTTTGGACAAGATGGATGCAGTGATTTATGATGCTGATCTGGATTGGGTGCTCCCCAAACTGGCAACCAAGAAGGCCCGAGGTATGGATGGTTTTTCCAACTTTGAGTTGAAGTACCTGCCCCACGTTCTCAAACCTTATCTGGTGCAGTTGCTCAACTCTTTCACGAAGGGAAAGTGGCCAAAGGCACTCACAAAGGCAAGAATGGCCTTGCTCTATAAGTCCCCGATTTGGGCCAGGTTTCCTCCACACGACCCATTACTATTTTGGCGTCGGTGTATCGTATGTGGGCCAAAATTATCACGAGGAAGATCTTTGACCACATTGGACCGCGCTTGCCGCCTACACTTTTTGGATCGGTGCAGTGCCGGGGAAATGTACAACTGACATGGTGGGAGCTGTACAACTTAGGTTGGAGCGAGCTTTACTTTCTGGACAACAACTGATGGGTGTCTCTTTCGACTTTTCAAAGGCCTACAATACTCTACCACGGGAAGTTTTGGAAATGATCAATGACAGGCTCGGATTGCAGATGGTGTGGCGGCCGTACTCTTCTTTCCTCCACGACCTGGATAGGTACTTTACCTGTGGACAGCACTGGGGTAAGGCTGTGAAGTCTGTTACGGGGGTTCCTGAAGGATGTCCAATTGCTGTGGTGCAGATGATTATGCTTACATGGCTCTTCACTGCGGTGGTTTATAAACGCACCAAATCAACCCTCTTTTCTTATGTGGATGACTGGATGGTCCTATCGGATGAGGCTTTGGCTCTACAACAGTCCACAATGCTTATTGACAAAATGGCTACCAAATTTGGACTTATTCTTTCCTTGAAAAAGTCGACAGTCTTTGCTACCTCAACTAAGCTGGCGAGACATGTTCAAGGATCGATGAATGCGGCTGGTATTCCTATTGGAGTTTCAAAGAATCCAAAGGGGCTTGGTGTCAATTTCCAGACTTCGGCTACCCCTTCTACGGAGTTCCGGAATGAGAGGTGGAGGAAGGCCAAGGTGGCCTTGGACAGGTTGCAGTACATGCCATGGTCCCCGAAGAGAAAATCTATGATGGTGGCAAGGGCGATTCTCCCCCTGGTTTTTCATGGGTGTCAGTCATGGTTCGCTGGAAAAGACTTTGTCCGGGAAGTGCGTGCCAAATGCAACCATGCGGTGGGTGGGAAGGTCAAGTACCACCTGCACTTCTTGGCTCCGATTTTTTCTGGTGGGGTTTATGAACCACAGGTTTACATGGCCAAAACGCGCTTCGCTGCTTTCCTCAGGGCTCTGGTTTCGGAGCCAGAGTTGGTTCATGATATTTGGAAACGATCCGTGGCTGCTGGTGCCTTTTTCAAACAGAAGACAAGAGGCATGGTCTCCATTTTTCAGAACCAGTTACACGACCTTAACTGGGAACTGCGGCAAGATGGCATGTGCGTGACACCACAAGGATGGACGTTTAAAATCTGGGAAATTTCGTCGGCCCAATTTGCGGAGGTGGTCTGGGAATCTTGGGAACACTCCCTACTACAACATCTGCACACCAAACGGCATTTGACAGACCTGGAGTCCTTTTCTTCCCTCCGGTCGGCTTTTCCGGAACACAAGGACCCTCTCATACAGGCCTTTATGCGAAAGGTGCGGTTGGGTGGATTATTTACAAACCATCGGAAAACACACATCAACTTGGACTGTGATGGGCTCTGCAGATACTGCGGAGCACAGGACTCTATGGAACATAGGTGTTTTGATTGCCCGGCCACTGAACATATCCGTTCCCTACCGAGTTGGGAAAACGTTTCCTCTCAGCCACGCAGTCTTTTCTTTGGAGGTGTCATGCCACGAATGCCCTCCTTGGAGGAGTATCGCAAGAAACTTGATTTGTTGGAGATGCCGGAAATCCCAAGCTTACCACAGGTGGATGAAACAACATATTTTTTCACTGATGGCTCGGCCCGTGATTCGTCGTGTCCTTTGTCAAGGTTGTGTTCCTGGGCAGCTACAATGGCGCAAAAAGGTGGGGCCCAAAACAAAACGGTGGTCGCTGGTACCCTGGTTGGGCGTCGGCAAACAGTCTTCCGGGCTGAGTTGCAGGCTGTTCTCATTGCGATGACGCTTTCGAATGATGTTTGTATTTTTTGCGACAATGAGTCGGTCGTCAAGGATATTAATACTATCCTTCGGTCTGGATACAACCAACAGCGATGGATTACACATCCTGACCGTGATCTTCTCAAAACTGTACAATACATCATCCAGAGTCATCCCACTAGAACTTTCCGGGTCCTTTGGACGAAGGCACATCGCGATGTCACAGAGGCAGTTAACTTCGATGATCAATGGCAGATTCACCATAATGCGAAAGCTGATCGCGCGGCTGGTTTGGTGCCAATCCCTCAACCTGTTGCTATGGTGCGTGCCACTCTCCAGTCCCGAATATTCAAAGATCTGCAGACTCGTGAACAATGTACAATGTTGCTGCGTGCAGTTATGGATGAGTTCCCCAACGATGACTTCACTCCTGTCTAGTTTTTTCAACGTTGCATGCCATGGTCCTGCATAAGCTTCAGTGGCGGTCTCACTCGCGCAACGCTTCGGATTCCGTCATGTCAATTGGTGAACCTAAACCCTAAACCCTAAACCCTAAACCTTAAACCCTAAACCCTACACCCTAAACCTTAATCTCAATCTCCCGAAAAAGCCAGGATCTGGCCCAGGGCTCCTGGACTTTGGCAACCTTGAGGTCCTTTGCGACTTAGGGGGGGTAGGGGTTTAGGGTTTAGGTTTTAGGGTTTAGGGTTTAGGGTTTAGGGTTTAGGAGGGGCCTTGAGAGATTTGGGAGTTTAGGGTTTAAGGCGTTGGGTTTAGGGTTTTTTTCCTACTTAGGGTTTTGGGGTTTAGGGTTTAAGGCTTTGGGTTTAGGGTTTTTTTCTTTTTAAAGTTTTGGGTTGAGGGTTTCGGGGAGCTTTGGGGTTTGGGGTTGAGGGTGTCGGGGAGCTTTCGGGTTTGGGGTTGAGGGTTTAGGCTAATTAAGGGTTTTTTTTGTTGTGTTGCCATTGGTTACCAGAATTTTGACAAGGTGAGGTGACTTCTACATTTTTAAGGTAGAATATGGCATAGTATAGTATCCTTGCGGGTAGAGGAGAGGTGCCCAGGCGCTCGATTTTCTGGCGGCGAGCGGCGACTTCACATTAGTTTCGATTTCGGGGTTTGGGGCTTAAGCCCTAAACCCTAAACCCTAAATTGGGGTTTAGCATTGGAGCTTGACCTGCAGGACATCGGCTCTGATTCGTGAGTCTGGGCTGGAGTTTCTCCTGTGCGAGTGTGTGTGTGTGTCCAGGATTCCTTGGATCTCATACCTTAGTTTAGGGTTCGAAGCTCATTCCTAAAAAAGTGGCCTTAAGTAATTTCCTTTTATTCGGGAATAATAAGAACCAACCAAAAAGTAGGTTGTGGTAGCCCCTAAACCCTAAACCCAGGTCATGGTATCATTCCTTGGCGTTCCCTTCGTTTAGCCATGCCACAGCAGACCCCGAGGTGCCGCGCACGCCTGTTGGCCGGTGCGATCCTGTCGCGGCTTCGTGCTGGTCAGAGGCTGGGGTGCAGGATGCTGAGAACCCATACCCCCTAAATAAGGAATATACGTTAAATCATGATATTAAGGCCCCCATAACTTAAGGTATATTCCTTAATTAAGGGGTATTGGGTTCTCTGGGGATGCTTCAGCTTCAACTGCTCATGATCTGAGACTTTCCGAAAATAAGGGGTACTTCATTGTGGGGTCCTTATATAAGGATCCTACTATTTAGGNNCCCCTATTTTCGGAACCCCCATTTATGAATTCGGGTGTAGAGTTTAGGGTATGAGCCAGCTCCAATGCCGTGTGCTACAGCACTCTTCATTGTTCGGGACCCTATGACTATTACCACCGTCTTCCTTTGAACACACCGTCTTGCCCGCAGTATGATACAACCCCAAAGGCCAATGCTGATTCTGCGATCATTCCCTAAAACCTAAACCCTAAACNNAACCCTAAACCCTAAACCGTTTGTGTTTGGGGATGTTGGCAGACGGTTGTAGAGTAGCAGGCGCCTGAGCAGGGGCAGTGTCCCTTAAGTACGAGAGCCAGCATCCGAGAAGCCTCCTGGGATCTTTCCAGCCCCAGAAGTATCCAGAAACCCCCTAAACCCGAAGCCCGAAGCCCTAAACAGAAACGAAACCTATCAGATGGGCTCAAGACCTAAAGACGGAAGGCTCAGAGCCAGGACCTTGGCCTTAGGATTAGAAGCAGCCTGGAGATGGAAACAAAGCCAAAAACATAGCAGTATTCAATAGTCGTAAGGAATATTACTACTCAAAGTATTAGTGTTATTAGTGTTATTTGCTGTCATTACTTTCATCATGATTAATATAATTCTTAGTAGTAGTACGTAGTAGTAGTA